TCAAACTTTCTCTACCAAAGGGTAAAAGATATATGATTTATTTTTATGCCAAGTGCAAAGTAGAAAGATAAAGCTTAATGAAAAGTAAGCAAAAATCTCCACAAAAAGAAAGAAAAGGTGGTGTGGCTATCCATCCTGAATTCCATTCCATATTCACACTTTCAAAGATGCAACTACCATGCTATTGGAGATAGAATAGACATGCAGACACATGCAAAATCCAAATGTCAGTGTTTGGAAAATAGCTGTCTTTGCATAAAATCTGACCCACCATTTATGTTTTATATAAAGATCTCTGAAAACATTTCCACAATCATTTCTGTATTTTCCATGTGTTTCTTTCATAGTTCTTAAGTTTTTCACATTTTTGAGAATTTTATACATGAATAAGTTGTATTTATATCCATTCTATCCCTCTGTGTCTACCCTCCAGTTTTTCCCATTTCTTCCATCAACTCCTATGTCTTCTTCTATGATCATTATTGTCATACACACAAACACACACACACACACACACACACACACACACACACACACACACACACACACACACACCCTAACCCATCCAATTAGCATCATCTATATGTTTAAGTGTTTAGGGCTGATCCTTGGCCACTTGGGACTGGGTAACCTATGAGGGAGGGTTTGTCCTTGGAGACAGCTGTTTCTTTCTCTCTCAACAGGCATTTACTGTAGCTCTCCATCTACAATGTGCCTTTCTGAAGTTTATTCAACTATGTTGGCACATCAACTTGTGTGGTTAGAGTAAAAAAGAGCAATTTTCAGAGATGCTCACTCTTAAACAGCATAAACTCTTTTCTAACAGATCAACTAGGATGAAGACAACCAAGTAGTTATATTTAACTCCTGGATAACAAATTAGAAGTTTCTATTTTTAATTAATTTTTTATCTAAAGAAGTTAAACCTCTCTCATATGACTGGCAGTGGAATCACAGGTCACATTATACATGTGAGGAATCCTGATTAAAGAGAGTTTGGTGACAGAGGGGCTACCAGGGCATTCTTACTGGTTTATATGTTTGCAGTGCATTGAGTGGCAGTACTGGCTGCAAGGCTGGCTGGGTGGTTTCAGGCATTCTGGTATCTACCTTAAATAAACTGTCATCCAGAAAATGGAGAATGTGGCTTAAGACAATTCTCCCAAATATAATACAGAAGGAATATCTTAATGAGGCAAGTACAGGCAAACAGCAGCACAAAGAGTACCAATACCAACAATCAATAAAATGATGTTTTCATGCAATGTTTGTTCTAGTTAATCTTTTATATTTGTGTCTTCCTAGAGATGAATGTCTTCGAGATGGTCTACAAGCAACAGCTCTTTCCAAGAGTCATGTCTCATCAAACTTGGTCCTAGCCATACTTCCTCATTTTTTTCATCATAACAGTTCTTCCTAATGCCCTAGTTATCCAGGAACATGTCAGAATGATACTTAAACTGTTTGACTCTTAAAAAAAAGGAAGAAGAAAAATGCATTTCCTTTTTACTCTTTCTCTTCTTATCCAACAAGAGACACTTACACATACCACTACACAAAATAAACACCCTGTCCATCCTGTGGCTTCATTGACACATTTCTTGGGATCATAAAAGAGGATCTGGACTCAGGTGTGAGAGAGATGAACAGATCTACCCTTTCCTTTCGCCTTTGCCAAATATCCCACAAAGTGTCTTCCTTTGCCTTCACCAGAATGATGAGTTCTAAGTCCTATGATGTAGAGTTAACCCTAAACCCTTGGAAAAGAAGACCAACATTAGCAATAATGAATTTGAGACTCTTACATTTGAAAAGGATCCTGTGGAACAGGATAAAGTCAACTTTCTCACTCATGATACTAGGATCTTATTGTTATCGTTATCAGCTCTGAACCTCCATTGTGTATCCTACTCAACAGTTTTTTTCTGCCATTGCCTTCATGCTAATTTAGGATAGTTTATGAACTGTGAGATTATAGATATTAACTTGAATTTGGTAATGGTTCATTTTTTCTTTTTACTTTAAATTCCTATTAAAAAGGAAAAGCGTCAGGAAATGGGGAGAGTGAGAGTGACAGAATTTAAAGCTCATAGTGCACTCTGTGGTAGAAGATAAGTAGTTTATACATACAGTTGCCTATTCCTGAAAACAGTTCCAAGAAATAAGACTCATGATCCTTGCATACAGAGGAGGAATCAAATACTCCAAATCTGTCATTGATCTCCAGTAGTACAGTTAGTCTATCTAAATCTTTCCCTTGAACTGCAATAATATGTATATGCTGTTTATGTACTGAGCTTACAAATTGCTACATAAACTCTGCATAAAACACCACTCCCTTTGCAAATTGTCCATTAAGCCAAGGAGAAACAGTATTATAATTTACTGCTGCATTCACTCTTCATCATTTTTTAATTCTTCCCCACCCCACCTCTCTCAGTTGATATTAATCCAGATCCTGTGGGCTACCATTTAACTACATTACCAGCCGGTTACTCTGTTTTTATACTTTTTGTTTTGAGACAAGGTGTCAATGAGTTTTCCAGGCTGGCCTTGAACTCACTCTATCAGATAAGCCTTGAACTTGAGACAATCTTGCCTTAGCCTCCTGAGTAGCTGGGATGACAGACCAGTGTCACAAGGCATAGAAGCATTATTAATCTTCATAAAACTCATCGCTTAGATGTGTCTACATTCATGTTGTTATTATGAAACAAAACACCATATTTCTACATTTATCCAAGGTATTATAATCAGTCTGGGTGAGATTGAATCTTGAGCCACCAGCTTCAATGTCTTTCAGTGAAGCTTCACATAGTTAGACAAAAACATCCAACAAAGTTGCTGGTACATGATACGGTTTTTTGTTTTGTTTTTCCTTTTTTTCCCCCCCTCCAGATCAACTATTCTATTCTCTTGTAATAATATAAACAAAATGTGGTTCTACTCCGTTCTGAATGTTGAAAGTGAGAAGAAATTTCCATCTTGCTTGAATAAGTCACGACATAGTCACAGCTGGAGAAGAAAGTGGATCTTGATCCATGCACCACAACCTTTCAACCAGCAATCAAAGGTTCCTTCCTGCCAGCATGTATTACATTGGTAAACTTCACTCTCAATTCTTTTTATTTTTGAAGAAAAGCATTTCCAGCTAATAACACAATTACACTTAAGTATCAGGGTCCATTTTAGTATTATTGCATTTGTTAAATCTAACTGAGTCCAAATTACTTCCTCAATGCTAATAAGAGATAGAGAAGGACAGAGAAGGGGAAAATGGCGAATGTGGGAGAGGATGGGGGTAGGGCAGGAAGAGAGGGAGGAGTAGACTTGGGGCAAATTAAGTTTTAAAAGAGTTTAATAAAACAAAGAAGAAGTGCATAGATAATGCAAGGGAGAAAAACAGAGATATCAATGCTCCATATAGCCTCAAGCTCAATAAATGTCAGTTAAACATGCTGCCCACGGTTTCTATGGAAACCCCTTAAGTTAGGAGTGGAGTAAAGACATTTTTGGACTGCAATCCACAAGCTGTTTATTTAATTATAATGAAACATGAGACTGCTAAAGACAATACTATTATCATACTGATAGCATTTAGGATTCAACAAACAGGTTTTGCAAAATAAAATGCCGACTTAAAAAAAGTTGTTAACTTCATGTTAATGCTATGTGAATAAAAGGCACCTTGTATTTACAGGACTTCACACATTATTTCCCTCAGGCGAACCCCAAATTAACCAAATGACATTCATTGAAAAGAGAATTCTTCAGAGTCTTCATGCCAATTATACCCCCTACGCCCAGTGAACAAAACCAAGGTCACAGCATATTTTCAATTAAACCCAAGATAGTACCAAAGTGCAGCGCAGCTGGAAAAGCCAGCACATTATTACCCCATAGATCATTTGTGAGCAATGAATAGGTCTCTGGTGCTTTTTTGTTTTATAGGCATTTGAATATAAAAATAAAGAGAATAGCTTCAGATCAGCTTTTGCCTTCCAAAATAAACAAACATTTTTAGGGCATTATGCCTGGTGGCCTGAGGAAAAAAAAAATGATTGGAAGTCATCAGGATCTCTCTGTCTGCTTTTTAATTTGGCCACAGAGAACCATCTGATTGATGGATTTATTCATTTCTTCCCTCTTTCACTAAGCAAACATGTCGTTTTTTACCTACACTGTATCAGTCCCTGTGCTAAGTGACAGGGAAGACAGGAATATTATTTGCTATCCCCTTCTTTAATTATGTGTCTTTCCCAGAGTAAGGCACTAATTGGTCACCATACAGTTATAGAGGACTAACATGATACATAGGCAGTGGATTAAGTGTCCACCTTCAAGGAGATTACAATTTAGTGAGACAAAAGGATGCATAAATGTACCAAAAGAGGCAAAGAGGCAGTGTTCTACCTACTTCCTCTCAGCCTTATGCCTATGTAAGTAGGATTATCATCTGTGGGTGCTGTGCTGAGGCAGAAAATAAAGGAGTGTGTGTGTGTGTGTGTGTGTGTGTGTGTGTGTGTGTGTGTGTGTGTGTGTGTGATGGCTGTTCAGAGGAGGGAGTAAGATAGGGGCTTCAGGGCTGCACTGAGAGAGGACCCACATAAGCAATTGTGGATAAGAACCCAAGACCTATGCAAATTATTCTGTACAATGTACTGAAGGAAGAGGACTTCACAGGAGAACTGAATGTCAAGGCCAGTTATCTCTGGAGTTGAATCAGGGAGCATGAAACTGGGTTCAAATTGGCAAAGGGGAACCTACACAGAATCAGCAAATAAGAATCACTGAACAGGTCTTTTCTGCTATATTGTGGCTTTTTTTTTTTTAATTCAGTTCTCTTTTGTAGTGGCTGGACTTCCTACAAATTGCTCTAGCGAGGAATGTCTGTCATTGCTGTTAGCAGATTTGACAGCAGATAATAAGCCACTTCATGTTAGCTGCCCTTGTAGTGTTCAGCATATTGTGGGAACCATTTAGTATGAATCATCACCCACCTTGTTCTCCATTGGGGTCTCTATGAAGAAAATAGGCAACGTGTTTGCCAACCTAAAAAACAAAAACAAAAATAAAACATATCCATTAGACCAATTTAGAACATTTCCTGATCTGCCATGACCGACAACAAAGATACCAATGGTGACAATATTTATTGAGTCACCACTGTATTTTAACACAGCTCTGGGCAGAAAGCCAAGGCAGCTATTTTAACCACTGGCCATTTGGAATAATGCACTTTTTAATGACAATAAAAACATGCGTTTGGAATCAGATCTGCAATCCACACTTGGTTTCCTCTTATTAGATTTGTGAACTTAGGCAAGTCACATTTTCCTTCTGATCCAGTGTCTTAATCATAACCACCTCACGGATCAAAAGAGCCAATGCCGAAAAATAGATGAGCAGTTAACAGTTAAACACTATTCAATTATTAATGCCAAATGGCATATTAATAATTTGACATAAGCATGTGCTACAGATTTCATTTGGGTACATTTTTTTTCCTCCTATACAAAACAAAGGGAAAAAATACATGGATTTTTCTTTAAAGAACTCTTATACATATTGAATGGAAATTAGAATCTAGATTGAGGGCCACACAGTATGTGGAATGAGACACTACATGACAGAATTTGTGTTTCTTGAGTGTCATTGAAATAAAATAAATATTCTTTATACCTAACAAATACAGTAATCTATCTCAAGTTTGGAAATGTATTTGGTACAGACAAACTGTACTGAGATGAAACACAGGCAATTGTAGATAGGGAAATAACACAATTCCAAATCAAGATCAAATATTGGAATTGATATTGACATCATGAAGAATTTTTTTTAAAGATTTATTTATTATTATACAGTGTTCTGCCTGCATGTATCCCTGAAAGCCAGATGAGGGCACCAGTTGTCATTACAGATGGTTGTGAGCCACTCACTATATGGTTGCTGGGAATTGAACTCAGGACCTTTGGAAGAACAGCCAGTGCTCTTAACCCCTGAGCCATCTCTCTAGCCCCGACGTCATGAAGAATTTTATTGATAATAGGATAGGAGAGAATACTAGGGTGGGGGGCTGATATTTAAATCTTCATGCAATGAGGAGAAAATGAAGAAGAGGACTTTAGCTAACTCAAAAAAGGAGGTGTTAACAGGTAAAATAACCTGATAGCTGATGGAATAAGTTTCAAAGCTCAGAATTTTATTGTGTATGATAACTTCATTTGGAACAGATGATAAAAACTAAACACCTTTTACAAAGTAATATACTACTAACGATCAACATTACCATTAAGCAAATCAAATTGATTTTAAGTGGAAGAGATCTTAGTGTTAGGGTGGGAATTTTGTGTTATTAATCTTAAAAACATGTAAACTCAACTTGATAAAAATTGCTAGCAAATCACAATTTTATATGAAATATTGGCTATCCTTCCACAGGACATATGAAGCATTAGCTACTAGTTGATGATCATGGTACTAACAATGCCTCAAAAAAAGCACAGAAAAGAGCAAGAATGCTGTGAAGGTAATATAAAAATATAAAAGAAGAGAGACTGCATTTATTGCTGAAACAAGTAATGAATTCTCAGTTTTCATATTCATTGAAATTCAGTAGCATTTGACATAGTAACTAGCACTCAGTACTTCTTGAAAAACACCACACACTTGACTCCTAGAAAACTATTCTTTTCATTTTCCTTCTCCCACAGTGGTCACTGTGCTCTGTGCCTCCTACAAATGTCTTCCCTCCTAGACTACTGATCCCTGGAGTGTCTCAGTGCTAGACAGCTAGACTCATTCTTGGTCTATATTCACAAACTAAGCAACTCTACAATGGCTTTAGATCCCATCTACCACTACTTGAAAATCTAAATTATTTTTCCATTTTAATATTTTATAATTTATTTAGTTTTTTTTCTTTCTTTTTTTAATTTTTTTACACAAAATGAAATTTTATTCATCCAAAAAGGAAAATGAAATTGTTAAAGTTTGAGGGAAATTAACAGACTAGATATTATTATATTATTGAAGTTTCTCTGACTCAGTAAGACAAACATTGTATTTTCTAAGAAATTTTTTATTTATTTTTACATACTAACCACAGATCCCCCTCTCATCCTCCTCCCACTTCCCCCAGCTGTCCCTTCCCAATGCACCCATGCCCAAATTTTAACTAGCTTTCAGATCAGTATATATAACCACTTTTGTAGGCCCATCACTTGAAAGTATCACAATTAATGTTTTCACTATAAAACTGTGGATTCTTACACAATTTTCTCCTTAAAAATATTTAATAGTTGCAATGCAACCTATTTATTTATATAACATGTTATGTACAAAGCATTATGTTGGGACCATTTATTTTCTTAGTAACTTAGGCCATCATCACACTTATTACTTCTATTCTAGGTGTCATACTTCTTACCTTTGCCCTTGTCACTTTTATATTTAATCTGCTTTATGTCTAACATCTATTGGATGTTAATATAATACAAAAAGATTCTAGCCACTTCCGGATAGCTCCACAACTAACTGCATATCCATTTCTTTTTCCTTTGGATATTTGGGCTGTTCTATAGACTGGTCCAATATCTGTACTCCTTGTTCCTGTCTTCACCTCTCTTCAGTCTTTTCTTCAAACAAAGACATAATCCTATCAAAATTAACATTCTCTTATATTTTCCTCTGTTCAATGTTCAAAATAAAGTCAATGACATTCTAGCTGTCCAGAAGTCTACATGTATTCTGTATTACCTCTACGTCTCTGATCCCCACCTCCTACCTCAATTGCTCTTACTTCCTGGCCACATGTCTTCTTGTATTCCCTTCAACATGCCAAGCATACTCTCTCTACCTTAATTTCCTTCACATGACTATGTGATCATGCAAGAACTCCATGGCTCTGGTGCCACCACTCGAGCTCACGTTTTGTTTAAATTTGAGAATCTGCTAATTTTCCCATGTTTAGGGTATTCTTCCCTCCCCATGCTAACTTACACCTAGCCATTAGAGTATCCATGTATTCTCTGTCCCTTATTCAGCCTTACAAGACATTTCAATCTGAACTGATAAAGAGGAAAGGAGGCATTGTTGCCATGACTCATTCCAATTTTCTGTAAGGTTTATGAACATATACTTTTGTGTTTCTCTGAAACAAAACACTATTGTCTCCAGTGTAGAATAAAAAATAAAAATTATATTTATGAAGCCATTATGATCACCTACTCCTGAATCTCTCTTCCTTATTCAGCTACATACTCAGTCATGACAGGTAATGCATTTCATCCCATGTGCTGCACAAACCACTGACTTCCAGGTAAGTATGTGTTCAATAAATGTGTCTGAAGCAGAGAATGAATAAAATCAATTATTTAATAATAAAAAAATCATATGCAGGGAAAAAGCAATAGCTGAAAATGCATCCCGATTTTGAACTGAAAAATTAGGTACAACAAATTTATGACAGAGAACTTTAAAAAATTACACATTTACAGGTCAAATATTTTTATTATTATTTTTGAAGAATACAATATAATTATATCTTTGATTCCTTTCTCTTTCTTGTTGCAAACCTCCCCATGTACTACCTCCTTACTTTTTTTTAAATTTATGGCCCTATTTTTTAATTAATAACTATTCAACTATAAATTCCAATGATAAACCATCATATTAGTAATATTTAGTTCAAATTTGTGAAAAACCTTTTCATACTTTTGCTACTTCTTGTGTGCAGCAAAGAAGGTAATAAAGAGGCAATATGTTGATGAGTGTGGAAAAGTCTTCTATTTTCTAGAATTAACCAATTCAGCAATTGAATGATGAAGGAGTCTTATTGTTTAGTTGCCTTATAGTTTGGTCCTCTAGTGCAAAGCTAAGAACCCATTTGCCTCACAGTAGCATTACAACCCACTGGTGACACACCTCTTTGTTTCATAAAGCCAAGGAATCCATACTGTTTATCAAATATCACATCTCAAATTTAAAGTCTCACTTTTATTTTGACTTCATCCTTTCACATGTAACTTGTTCAGACAAAGACTTTGTTCATTTTGTCCCTGATCACTTTGCTAAGCAAAACTATCTCCCATTAGTAAGCCCATTCATTGACACTTCATAGCTCTGTGCTTTGCATTTACTTGAAAATGGTATTTTCAGTTGAAGTTAAAAGGTATGTATAGATGGGCCAACATACAGATACTACACATTCATTTCTAGAACAGATAATGCTGAGCCAGACCAAGGGCTATGAGCATAGGAGATGGTACACACCGAGTATTCTTGATTTTTAAATAATAGCATCAGGCCAACCTCAGTGCTAACTAATCTTAATCTTTATTCTAAAAGGACACATGATAGCTGTGGCATTTATCTTCATGAGTGTAGTGATGAAGGATGGATGGGGACTAGCAGAGTCATGAGTGACTTATCTGACTCCTCACACAAGTGAAGATAAATGACACAAAGTATGCCACTGTGAATTATAAACAGTAATTTCACATTTATATCCACTGGCACAAACACTCTGTGGGCCTTTTTCCTGACCCTACAGTGCTTCCTTTTCAAAACACTGAACAATAACAACAGAGGACCTAGGGGAGAGTGGAAAGTCAGAGGGGATGAAAAATGCTAAAACCTCTTCTATGACACAGGTTACCCTGTAGAGAAGGCCTCACACAACCATCTCTCAGGGAACTCAGAACTGGTTGGGAGCCTCAGATCAGATTTCCATGTGTCTCTGGCTGTTATCATTAAGCTAATGTCATAAAAGAGTCACAAAGAGTTCCCAAGGGTGTTTCACTGGAATCCTCTCTAACCTGTGGAAAATTCAAGAGATTTTCAGTTCTAACAAATTCAGAAGGCTTCCAGTTTTTCACCCAGAGTCCTCCTAATTAATGCTGTTCTGTGATGATACTTATTCACTTCAGATGATACATAATCTTTCATTTATGAGTCAAACTAAGACAATGTCATAATGTTTCTTAAGCTTCTGATAAGATGAATAGGATACAGAAAGTTGTACCATGAGGGAAGGTAAGCTGTATATCCCT